CCCTATGGGAGGAGGCATTCACCATCTAACTGTGCCTTTACTCCCGAGTTGGCCCTTGTTCCTTAACTGTTCCCTTCTGCTGGCAGCTCTGCGCATGTGCACATCGGGAACAGGCTCCAGCTGTTCTTCTGCCCCACTGATATCTGACTCCGAAGGCAGCTGATAACTGGCATACGACCCTGGCCCCATCTCTGCCTCTGATGCAGTGCCCTCATCAGAGCCTTCCCCAGACTCCAGGACTGGCCCATGTTCCTCCCCAACCTCCTCTTTGTCTGAGTCTGCCATTAGCTCTGCTGGCCCCTAGTGGGTCACAACACATTCATTAATTCATTAATTCATTAATTCATTAATTCATTCATTCATTCATTCATTCATTCATTCATTCATCGTAGGGCTGCCCAGCTCAATCAAATGACTAAAGGCGGCTTACAATTATTTACTTGATTGCTAATCTTGGTATTAATGTAGATAAATCAGCCATTCACAGGAACACAGAGATTAAAAAAAAAAATCTGCATTATCATTCCAGAGAGATAATCAAAAAGCTAAAAAGCCACACCCCCTCCTTGCCAGCAATCAACACTTGTATATGAACAGAAACCAGAAACCAGTTTCTAGCACCGATGTGCTAATGATTAAAATATTGGACAAGGATCGAAGTGTTTTTTCCATTCTAATGCTGTGGGATGGTTTACAGGATATTCCTCGACTTACGACCCCGATTGAAAATTTCCAATGCTAAGCGAGATACTTGTTAAGCGAGTCGTGCCTCCTTTTACATCCTTTTTAATGCTACACAGTTGTTTAGTAAACAAACGTAGTTGTTAAGTGAAGCATGCGGTTGTTAAGTGAATCTCGCTTCCCCCACTGACTTTGTCGGAGGCCAGCTGGGAAGGTTACAAACCGTGATCATATTACCTGCAACTTGTCATACATACATGCCGGTTGCCAAATGCCCAAATTTTGATCACGTGACCACCAAGTACCCCAACCGTGCCCAATGTGAAAACTGGACATAAGTGACTTCTTTTTTTTTCCAGGGCTGTTGTAACTTTGAACTGTGGTTAATTCGAGGACGACCTATAGTCCATCCCTGGGCCCGAGGAGCTCAATTTCCACCCCCCCTTCTCCCTCCTCTCCTTCCTACTCACCAGCCACCAGTTGTAGTTATCCTGGGACAGGAAGGCATTTTGGTTGGTTAAGAAGGGTTGAATAGTTATGTTGAACCTTTCTTCGAACCAGGCTGAGCTCTCTTCCAAAATGCAGGTGTCACAACTGCAGGGCCGCCGGGAATATTTCAGCAGTTTTCTAACCCGCTCCGAGAACTGGTACGCGATTTGCTTGGGATCCCAAGAAGTAGACACCACGTTGTTGGTGTAGTTGAGTAGGAAGGATGTGATGGTGATGATGAACAGTAAGGCAAGGGTGAACATTTTCAGGCTCTTGTTCAGAGGGACCATCATTTTGGCAGACCACAAGGGGTCCAAAGAGGTGGGAATTTAAAAAAAAAAAAGAATTGCAAAATCTTTTGTTTAGCCACGAACAGGCCGTTTACTCCAAGGAACGGCCCTTGAGAAGGTCTTCTGGAGCGATGAGAAGAAAGCTAACGTTCTCTGCTCTTCGTCTGCAAGCAGGTAGGGCGAAAACACGTCTTTTCATTTTGTTTTCCTTCTTCCCTTCTTGAACAGCGGCTGGCCTCTTCTTCTGTAAATTGAATCAAAACGAAAGTATTGTATTCATTTTGAGAAGATTTTATTAGCAAACTCAGCTTAGGTGAGAAAAAGACTCTTACATAATATATGTGTGTGTGTGTGTGTGTATATATATATGTATGTATGTATGTATATGTATATGCATATGTATATTATGTATATGTATATGAATATGCATATGTATACACACACACACACACAAACACACGCTAGTCTTGTTGTATTTGGGTCTTTTCATATATATATATATATATATATATATATATATATGTATGTATGTATGTATGTATGTATGTATGTATGTATGTATGTATGTATGTATATATGTATATATGTATATATGTATATATGTATATATGTATATATGTATATATGTATATATGTATATATGTATATATGTATATATGTATATNGGAACCCATCACAATTACAGTTCAAACTTTCATCTACTGAACCATGTTAATAGTTTCACTGAAACTTGTAAAACTCTACCTTTCAACTATAAATCTGGTTTGAGTTATGATTTGTTTGGCTTAGGTCATTATGAACCTTGCCACAAGGGTTCTCCCAAAGGTGCTTTTTCAGGAGGCACCTGGACTTCCTTGTTCTTTCTTTTGAAGACATTTCACATCTCATCTGGAAAACTTCTTCAGCTTTGACAGGACAGTGGGGAATGGAAGGATTTATATTCCTTGCAGACAGCTGGTCATTTGCATCCTTTTAGAGGGTCATTGAAGCACTTGGTGGTGTACAGGCTTTTAGCTATAAAATTTGGGATGGATGCCCTTTGAATGATGTGGGAGGAGGAAAGGATTTCCAGAGGAAAAATTGCAGACTACAGGAACCATTATCATCACTCAGGTGACCCAGAAGACACAGATAAACCTCTAAGTGCTTCAACAACCCTCTAAAAGGATGCAGAACACCAGCTGTCTGCAAGGAATATAGATTCTTCCATTCCCCACCATCCAGGCGGAGCTGAAGAAGCTTCTTGGATGAGAAGGGACAGGTCTTCAAAGAAAAACCAGCTGCCCCCTGGGACAACCATGACCTGGATGGATGACTGAGAATTTCTACAGACTTTCAGCCACCATGGTATATACAGGAAGCCAGAGATTATTAAATATATTTTAACATCACATGTTTAAATAGGATAGAATAAAACCAGCAATTTTTCTTGAATGTGCAGTGTCCCAAGTTCTGGCTCGTATTTCCCTCTTTGCTTTCTCAGTTTCTTCCAATGATTTATTACAAGCAAACATGTTTTCGGACGTTATTGGGTGTTCTGCCCCCACCAAACCCAATTATAATTGAAAATCAGAACTGAATCATCCGGCCAAACCAAAGGCCATAAAGTCTTAGTTGCTGCCTTCGATGTTATCGATCCTGTGAGGGGGTTGGGAAGCTTTTTGCTATCCGGATCAATTTAACAAGCGTCCCTGAACATTTGAGAGTTCTGTCTGCCAGAAACTTTTCAAGGACAGTTTAATTCAGATATTAGGTATCACCATACAAGCCATCTCTTTTGGGACAATACAAAGGCATACACCCAGGAGTAGGATTCAGCCACTTTGGACCAGTTCGGGTGAACTGAATGCTAATTTTGCATCTGGTTCGGTGAACCGGTAGGTGGAAGAACTGGCTGGCCCCGCCCATTCCTCCCCTCCCAGGAGTCTCCATGCAGCCCATTCATCATGTCAAGAAAGTGCAGGGCTTGTTCAGAGGCTCTGGGAGGGTGAGAAACAGGCCACCTGGAAGTTCCAGAAATCAGGAAAGGGGCCTGTTTCCAGCCTCTGGAGGGCCTCCGGAGCTGGGGGAGGCAGTTTTTGCCCTCCCGGAGGCTCAAAAAAACCCCCTGTACCTTAGGATTCAACATGTGGAGTTCTTAGTGCTCTCTGAGCTTGGGGGCTTCCTTACAGACATTTCATGACCCAACCAGATAACCATATCAATGCTAGAAGGGAGTGTGGTTTGCTCTTTGTTTATGCACAAATGGTTTGTCCTCTCATTGTTGGTGGGAGTGTTCTTGATGGCTCCTTCAATACTGTTTGATTGTTTGTCTGAGCTGGTAGTTCCTTGATTGGGATACTATTCATTCATTCATTCATTCTGTTCTGACCTAGGCGTCACAAAATCACGGAGCAGACTCCTTGTCCTGACAAAAACCCCTTTTTATTAAGCTAATGTGAATTCCTCTCATTCACATCCAGCAAAGTCCCAGCAAACAGTCTTTCAAGGGTGAATTTACAACCCTAGATCTTATCAGGCTTGGAGAAGAGCCAGGCTGATATCTTCCAAATGGAATGCTATAACAAGAAAATGGAATGCTATAACAAGAAAATACTTGGCAAGGAGTCTCTGAGAGTCACAAACAAATCTTCACACTAATTAAATGAACTAATTGTCTCCTGCAACCTGCCCTTCCCTTTCGCTCCTCTTCATTCACTATGGGACGGGCCATTCACTGTCTACCTGTGCCTTTACTCCCGAGTTGGCCCTTGTTCCTTAACTGTTCCCTTCTGCTGGCAGCTCTGCGCATGTGCACATCGGGAACAGGCTCCAGCTGTTCTTCTGCCCCACTGATATCTGACTCCGAAGGCAGCTGATAACTGGCATACGACCCTGGCCCCATCTCTGCCTCTGATGCAGTGCCCTCATCAGAGCCTTCCCCAGACTCCAGGACTGGCCCATGTTCCTCCCCAACCTCCTCTTTGTCTGAGTCTGCCATTAGCTCTGCTGGCCCCTAGTGGGTCACAACACATTCATTAATTCATTAATTCATTAATTCATTAATTCATTCATTCATTCATTCATTCATTCATTCATTCATCGTAGGGCTGCCCAGCTCAATCAAATGACTAAAGGCGGCTTACAATTATTTACTTGATTGCTAATCTTGGTATTAATGTAGATAAATCAGCCATTCACAGGAACACAGAGATTAAAAA